GCTCTTTATCGTGACTTCTGTAATCATGCTGAAAACTGTTCTCTCATCTGCACTACAAATTATAAACCAAGCAATGCCATCTCAAGGGGCAATTTTCCACATTAAATTCATCTTGGCTGGTTACAGACTTGTAGAATAGATTTGACTGCAAACTCTAGTACTAACAATAATTCTGTAAGGTCCCCTTGACTCTTCTCAAATTCTAGCAGAAGGTTGGAGCCAGGTGTGCAGAACACATGATCCTACACTTCTGATTTAGGATGCAAAATGTCTACAGTAGTAAGGGATAGGAGGGGAGGGGGAAAATTTAGCAAGAGTTTATGGAAGGTACCTGCTAGAAAAGCATTATTGCTGAATAAGTGTTTAACAATGCAACACAAGGAAATATCTCCTTGTATTTAGGGCAAGCACTTTAAACTGTAAATAAAACATATCAGGCCAGAGGGAAAAAAGTGGTTCGCATGACTAATAGGGGCAGATAAGAAGGGGAAATGTGGAAGAGAAACAGGGAATGCAAGAGAAAAGGCTGCAACAGGATCTGAGGGTGATAGTCTACTGCAGGGGAAGGAACACAAAATTACTGGTCCTAAAAGCTAGCAATTTGGGGTGAAGTAGTTGAGTTTTTGCCGGAAGAGTGTAAGTAAACAAAGATGTCAGACAGAACCACCTCAGTCTGACTAGAGGCGTGAGATTCTGAAGTCCAAGATAGGAAGCCAATGATGAAACTTTTGGCAAAGCCACCAAAGGACATACTGAAATAACTGATGGGTAGTGAACAGCTAGCTAAACAAGGAGAAAACCAAGGGTTTACAGAAACAACAGGCAAAAGCCAAGAGCAAGGAATGAAATCCCAACCGCCATGCTTCTATATGTGCGCTTTACTCCCAAGTTGACTAATTAGCTCTGCAGTAAAGCATCATCATCTACATGTGCTGGAATTAGGGCACAGTAAACTAATTAACCCTGCTGTAGGATAGTACTCTCAGGGATACACTAACTTGCAGTGGAGTACTTTGCTGCACTGAAACACATATGTAGACAGTGACCAGAGGCATAAACGATGCCCAGTCAGCCCAGCCAGCTGGAGCCTGCTATGCTCTGGCTCAAATTGCTGCTGCCCCAGGTGCACATGTAGATGCTGTGCTTGCGAGCAGTTCACTCTGGCTCAAAGTGCTCCGCAGTTTATTACAGTGCATTAACTGCATGCGTAGATGCACCCAGGATGTTCAAAAGACTGCTTGTGCGATTAGTTGAAGCAACAGCAGTCCTAACCCATTGCTGATTTTTCAGCAGAAATATTTGGTGACTCAGTATGGTTGTACTGTTTTTTCCCCTACTCTAAATCCTAGCTATAACAAATGAGCAGCTACAAGAGAAAAATCACTTGCTTTGTACATAAAAATAACGTAACTGCATATATCTCAGACGGATAATTTTTCAGATGATACAGAAAGGGACTACAGAAGCAAAGGAACAAAACAAATTATAATTAAAGTGACTAACAACTAATAACACATCACAACATCTACATGGTACTGGAAGCAGTGAAAAAGGCAAATTATCACAGGGCTCGTATAGAGCTGCTGAGTATAAGCAGGTGGTTTTTATGGAAATGCTAGGCAAGTCATTTAATTAAGATAATATTCAGAATGATATATGTGATTCAGGGTCATTGGGGCCTGTCTGAGATGGGAAACGTGCCACTGAAAGTAACCAAAATGCCATACTACTCAGCTTGTATGAAAGCTGCTCTACAAAAAAAATCAAAATGATACAAGTTATGGCTATATGTGCTATGACCAAAGTGAAGATTTTTATAAAAGAAGGAAACTGAAGAGATGTCTTAGGGGTCAAAGCCTTCTGTCAGAATAGTTTGCGTGCACAGAACTAATGTGTGGCAGATGCTTTGTGAAAAGCATAGTCTTTGGATTGCTACCACTTCACGAAGCTAGAAACTATAATGCAAACAGGGATAATTTTTTTCATACTTCTAACAACAGTAAACTTGAGTTACAGGTATGCTGTGTGGAAAGTCTTTTGCAATGGGTCGTGTCTGCTCTATGTAATATATTTATAACCCTCTGGTACTTTTCTTGCATTTCTTAGCCCAATTTTTTCATACTTACACTAGTTAACACACTAAACATCCCTAGCACAAACTTGTTAATATTTTTGGTAAAGAACTCTGGGTGGAGAAGTGTTAAACACTGAAGTGTTAGTGGACAGAATTTCTTTATGTAAAAGAAATGGATGGGAATGGAAAATAGCCTTAACAAAGACCTGGAAGCTAAGTGGTGACAACATAAATAAAAGGTATAAGATCCCAGGTATTTTTTACACAATTAACTGTTCCAAGAAATAATTCTGTACTGAACATTATTTTGCAATTTGAGGTCTATTCTGTGAACACTTAGACATGTGAGCTTTGAAGAGGTGAGTAATTCCATTAACAGAAAAGAGATTACTCACATGATTTCAATTTATTTTTAACTAAGTTTTGACAGGATCAGACCTTAACCATTTTTGTTCTATGTCACCTCTTTTTCCATCCTACATAGAAAAAGTCAGTCCACAAACTCCAAAAAGCAGTTAATTGCAGGACTGTCCTTTGCAAGATAAAGAGAGGTAACTGGAACACAACCAGGGATTGGGCACAAAAATTCTGTTTAGTAAAAAACAGGCAAACAAAGCAGCAAGCAAAAAAACTGTTTTACCTGATAAAATGTTTCACTTCTGATGTGTAGAAGAATCTCTTCCTTTTGTATCTTGTGTTTAAGTACCAAGGTATAGGCCACTCCTTGAAAGTGTACCTATCAATGAGAGGAAAAAGAAAATTAGTTACAGTATTAACAGGACTTCAGCTTCTGCATTTTAGTCCTCAGACTGCAACTAAGCTTGCTTTTTTAGTTCCAGTCTGAAGGAAACATGGCCTAGTTAGTAGCTCTTAGAACTGGCAAATAGAGGTTCTGTTCTCAACTGCCAGTACCTGGACAGGTGACCTTGAATGTATGGACTACCCTGTGGCCCACTTTCCCCTTTGACAACATAGAAAATGCTTTCAAAATTCCTTAAAAACCAAATGGCAAATACTACGTAAGTGCCAACAATCAGCATTCGCATTACATTATTTGTTAAAAGATAAGGAAGTTCCTTCATGAGTGTACTTGCAATTCTATCTTAGTTAAGATGATAAAGCTATTTGAGTTATGGTATCATAGAACTATTTAAAAATGTTGTTATTCCCTGGATATGTTAGATTTGATACATGTTAGATTGGGGTGGCCAAAATACAGCCTGTGGGCTGTATCCAGCCTGTGAACTCATAGTGAACTGATCCTGGCTAACTGCCACAGGGAGCCTGAGGAGGGAGGGCTGAGCCCTGCTCTGCCCTGCAGCAGCCAGGGCCAGGCTGGGCACAGCGCAGCCTTCTTTGTCCCCTGCACACTCCCCCTGCATCCATTCCCTTCCCCACCCAGCTGGTGCTGCAGTATGTACCTGGTACCACAGAGATATAAGCACAGTGGTTAGCATAGCCAGTACTCTATTAAACAACCATAAAGGTGACAAACAAGTCAGAACAATCAGAATTTACAGCAGTGAAGCCATCTCCATATTACCTTGCCATCTACAGCGTATATTCTACAACTGTCAGAGACACAGTACAATGTATTCATTCCTCAGTGCGGGGGAATACAGTATTACTACTCTGTCACTGTGTTAGCTGGGCACTGGCAGTGCCCTTGTCTTTCTTGCTTTTACCTGTGATCAGAGATTAATGGCATTTCCAATTTGGTGCCCTATGCTTGTGTGCGAGGGTTTGAAAGCGGTGATTTCAGAAATCTTTGGGTAAACAGCTGCCTGCAAATGCAGGGGCTCGACTTGTTGGCCCAGGAGACCCTCTTTCTAGTCTTGTTTTTTGTAGTCTTGCAATGTAAGTAGGGAAAGACCAAAAGCATAGCACAACTTGGGAATGGTATATAATTTGGGCCTGTATGCACAGTGAACCTGAACAGTGTTTCATCTCTGTCACAGGACTGCCATGCTGTAACTAGACCCCCTAACAGGGTAGGGTTTACAGTCTAGATCAGTGGTTCCTAAACAGTGGTCTGCAGATTGCACAGGACCCTACGTCCCATCACAGCTTTCAGTTAAAAATGTAGTAAGAGTGAATGATGGCCCTAGGGAGTGGAAGACTAGTTTGTGGCCTGATTTGTACAAAAAGTTTGGGAACCACTCTGGAACCAAACAATGTGTGCACGCACGCACGCATGCACATAATTGCAAGAGAGTGGTTATAACAAGGTTAGGTAGTATTAACAACTCAGGAGAGCTGCCAGCCATTAAACACTGATCCACAAGCACATAAATATTGTCTTTCCCTTCTCAATAGTAATTATGCTTTGTTCTTGATAATAAGAAAAAGATCCTCTTCCCACAAAGATAAAGCCAATAAAAGAAAAGGGTAGTCAGATAATGCCTGTTTTTATAGTGCTGAACTCCCCTCCCCCAAAATTTCAAGTACATAGTACAGTATTCCTTTTTCCCATACCAGTGGGTACGTCCTAAGAAGTCCTGTCTCCATTCCCCAGGTCTGCTTTTTTCCTGACCAGTTTGTAAAAGCCGTAGAGCAGTTTCTCTTTCTTCAACAACGTCGTCTATTCTTTTCATGGAAGTTTCTACCTGAAAACAGAACAAATTTCAACATGAGACTCTGAGACCGTGAAACCAAAGCTATCAAATTGAGCATAAACTTCTAGGCAATGTTAGGAGCACATTATAATTGCTGGTAACAGTCTATAATCTTAATAATCTCACAACTATGAAAAGCAGTAAACTCAGTCAACCCCTATTTTGCCAGTAAGAATCAACATTTTGAACAATGATCTAAATATTCACTATACAGTCATTCCAATTATCTGACTGGAAGCGTGGTGAGGATGGGGCATTGACAAACTGTGGATTCAGTTAAGGGCTTTGCCAGCTAAGGTTCAGTCTAAACCAGGGGCAGGCAATTATTTTGGACAGAGGGCTGCTTACTGAGTTTTGGCAAGCCATTGAGGGCCACATGACAAGCAGCCAGGGGCAGATAAATATTGATTTTCTAAATTTTTTAGGGGCCCCATGGACTGAATAGAATGGTCTGGTGGGCCGCATCCAGCCCGTGGGCCGCATTTTGCCCACCCCTGGTCTAAACAGAGAGCTGACATTGCTTAGAAGGAAGTAGCTTAAATATATGCAAAGGTCCTTTCTGCTTCTAGCGCAGGTTTTTATGGAGTTGTTAATTACTCTGGTTTGCAATTCTAGGGATCTTATTAGATGATCAGAAAACAGCCAGACCATTGCATCTCATCAGAAGCATTTCTAGCTAGCAACCTTATTATCATAGTCTGTACTTTCATCAACTTGGAAGATTATTAGAATGCTTTCTGCCCAAGGCAGCATCTTAACCATCTGGGAAACTGTTGCTGATGAGGGAACTCAACTTATTTAGTTATCCCAAGGCTCTAAGATTTTCTTTTGCTGCACGAGGCTTAATATACTGGTATTGTACAGCACCCTACAAGGCCTGATGAGCCCTTTAATTGCAAGACCTCCCTTCTATGCAACGATACTTGCTAAATGCTGATGGTGTGACTGATGGATGCAGAAGACACAGGCCAGAACAGGGCTCTACCTAACACTAGCAGAGAGACTATGCAAATTAAAAACAGAACCTGCTGTGAAATTCAAATTAATGGTTTTAGAGCCCCGACATGTTCTAAATATTTAGAAAATGCGAGCTCTTGTTAAAAAAAAAAAACATTGCAAGATAGGGAGGGGGAGAGACTGTGTGAAGAGACAGGAAGGATGAAGGACTTCATATGAAATTTTATATTACTGCCCTGGGCAAAGTGTATAACAGGTTTTTTTACTGATTTTCTTTTATGGAAAAACCTACTAAAATTATACAGGGAACTGCACAGAGATCTGGAAATGCTGCATATTTCACACAACACATTTTACTTGCTATGATTATTTTAGCTTATGTGAAAAAATTACCTTTTCTAATCGCTCTGGACTTGGCATGGGTACTCTTTGTCGTTTCGCTTCTTGCTGTAAAGTTAAAAGCATGTTTTTCTCTTTTAGCAGGACATACCTGAATCAAAGAACACAACAGTATAGTCAAGTCAACTGAGTGGGAGATTGTTTAGTGGCAGAAACAGCCTTGTTGTTAACGTGATAAAACGGGCATGCTTATTCCAACAGTACAAAGCACCCTGCCAAAACATACTGACCAAAGTTTGTGCAAGTCTTCGTTACTCTTGCCTCTTAGTTGTGTTATTTTCCAAGCATCACCTGTAAAAACAGTGGCCATAAGAAAGTTACTTAATGGACAACAGTTCCACTTCTGAAAAGAATGCACTTCTACTTGCAGATCACGCTTGTTTAGTGCCACCTGACAAATTACAGGCACCAACTTTTGCATGTTTTCCTTGCAGATAACCTTAAAGTGTTGGATTAAACCCAACCTTAGCTGGAATATGAGACCATACTCAAACATGAGTTGGTGCGGGTACTTTTTCTAACCTGCACTCTTTATATCTCTCTATCTATATAAAAAGAGGGAGAAAAAATAGCTTTAGAGATAGCATTACTTCCTTAACAAAGTTCCGTGTGCAATGCAGGTAGTCCTCAACTTACAACATTTCACACTTATAATGTTTATAAATTGACGCCCTGTTTCAACTTTTTGATGTCAGTGCCACCTTTACAACGCTTGATCTGAGGCCACACCAGCAAACAAGTCGCTGTGTCACCCATCTCCCTGGAGAACATCGGTCCAAAACTTCCTTGGACACTGTCTTTAAGAAAGCAGACGAGACTCCAGAAAAACCTGCAGCCGAGACTTGAGAAGACTTCAGCCAAGAACCCTTCAAAAAGTCCGAGAGCCCGTCAAAAAGTCCAGCAAAATCGCCTCAAAGAAGTCCTTCCAAATCAATATGACTGCTATTTACAATATAAATACACGAATGTAGCTACATTATTCATCTATAATTCATCGAGTACAAAAATTCTGGGTTATTTTTGGTAAAAATAGGGCATCAGGCCTCAGTTCAGGAACCAGTCCCCCCTTTATAACATTGTTTCCTTTGGGAAAAATCGGTTTTGAGTTACGACATGTCGACTTTTGACGTGTTTTCCAGGAACCAATCGTGTCCTGAGTCCGAGAACTGCCTGTATTAAAAACACAGCTCTGCCTACTATGAACTGTCTGTCACCATATAAATAAAGGCTTGAAAGATTTCACTCCCATCCTGCATTTATGGGGGGGGGGGGGGGGGGGG